GCAGGCATTTATGCAGTCACTCAAATTGTGGAAACTTAGCACCATCCAGTGGTTGATTTTGTACTGTCAAAAATCCTCACTGAGATGCAGACTTGAACAAGTGCAATGAAAAAAAAAACACCTCCAACTCACTGCTTTTCTGTCCTCACACAGAAATAAAAACTAAAATAAATCAGCCAAGATGTCGGCAGGAGAATGGTGGAAAATTTCCAGATACCTCCAGGTGCCATGTTCATTTATTTTAAGACGTGGTATTATGTGTTTGCAGGCACATACTACCATTTTATAGCACAATCAAGAAAAAATTATGTATATTTCCAAAAATAACTTTGACTTTGTAATTTGGTTCCTCAAAATTGGCCTCTGTTCTTCAAAGAGGAGCTATGATGCTTCTTTGAGCAGGCTTGTATAAATCTATGGGTTATACAAAACATACGTTTTTCACAGATTAGTTAAGTCAGTTCTGAATGAGTTGTTTTAGGGCTTCTGGCCACCTTAAATCCAAACGAACAGCTGCAGGCCACGCCCCCCAACTCAACATTTACACTTCTACATCTTTCAACATCATAAGTAACAACAATCAGCACCACGAACAACAATGCAGAAAGTAGTTTCTGGATGTCAAAGTCAATAATAAAACACTTGTCTTTTCCAGTAGCCATTGCAGATCACATACAGTGGTAAACCCAACTGACCAAACATGCTGGAGCTGTGCTGGGATTTCTAGATCTGCGTCTTTTCGTACATTAACCCCAGAACTGAAATAGAACTGGTGGAGCTTAGAGACGAAACTATTACTCGTAAAAGAACATAAAAAATAGCACATTAAAAGGTTGAAAATGACAATCATTAAGAAAGAACATTGATATCTGGAAATATTAAAGTAAGAACTCAAGACCAAGTTAAATCTTGGCTTTGCAAATGGACAATTACTCTAAACGTGTTGCCAAATTAGTGACAAAAGAGTACAATCTTAAAAAGCTCTGATCTCAGAGTTTGGCCAGAAATGTTGTTTGTAAGCAGGCAAGCCTGACCCAGTTACTAAATCAGAAGTCAGTTTAAAACTCTAAAGTGCTGTTATTATTCATATTTCACATTTTTGTTGTATACCAATAAGAATGTAGTCTTCTGTGTTGGTGGCTTTTTCTATTTCTATGCAAAATAGTGCAAATAGTGAAATAATGACTCAAACTGCATAATGCAGAGGAGATGACTTCCTCACTACCGCTTTTTAAATTCTGCCTACCCTGAGGAGAAGCTACACAGACATTGGTTTTACATCTACTGGGTCAATGCTGCCCTCTGGAGATTAATAACCACAAAATTCCCATAGACGTGGTCAGGCATGACAAAAAATTTTTTTATTCTTTTTCATTTGATCAAATATGAGAAGCAGAGATCAAGATCTCAAAATGAGTGAGTGAGAAAAGCCTGACCTCGATATTTTACTGGAAGGAGGGCTGCAGCGGTTTCTGCGGCGATAACCAACAGACATCTATGCAGCCTGCAGAACAGCCAGAATAATGAATGAGTGATGAATAATGGAGGAATAATGAAGAATAATGACTCGGGATTAAAATACACGATCAGGGATACACACTCTGATGTGCACACTCATGAGAGTGGATAATTATACAGCATTACCATTTATCTTTCTCTCAGAAACAACGTGGTTCCATTCTCACCTGTGGTGCACACAGCTTCAGTTACACTGTAATGTCCCTGCTCACCTGTTCAGTGTTGCATATGTTAACCAGCACAGGTAGATCTTTCTCTCACTTCAATACATTTTAGTTTAATGATCAAAGCTACAGGAACTTTTACTGAAAATGTATTTTTTGTCACTATGACATGACTGTACGGTATGAGATTGATAATCTTTGGAAAAATTGAGATCCTCTGCCTTCTCCCTCCGTCTGGCCAGCTGGCCAGCTTGTGCTGTCGGTCACAATATAGTGTGGCGCTGCTCATCCCCTTTCTCCCCCACCCCCCTTGCTGTTATTAGCACATTTAGTGGTGAGTACATGAGTGTGATTGACAGCACCAAGACCCTACTCCTGCTTCTGATTGGTTGTTTTTGTGCATTTCTTCAAATGGCAATAGCAACTCAGGGAGGAAGAGGAGAGGATCAATCTTATCCTGATGACAGTTTTAACAAATATCTAAAAAACATATTCTTTATAAAAGTTACATTCCGCAGCTTTAACATCTAAGATATTTCTTTCTTACATTAACATTGTAGGTCTTTTTTTTCTTCCTTGGTCAACAGGAAGTGACTGCATGATCACAGTTTAGTCCTGTTCTTCAGCAATAAGGGAACTGTGGGTGTTGTCATCAAGAGATGTTCAAACTATGACCAACAAAGGCAATGGAAACTTTTTTTTTCTTTTACAGGAAGCAACATCTGCATTCAAAACTTCCCCAAAACAAGTTGAAGCTCACTGCCACACCTAAAAATACAGTGCATCGCAAAAATATCTGCAGATTTTAAAGTAATTTAAATGTGAATTTTATGAGACAGACCGAAAGAAAGTAATCCATATCTGCAGCGAGGAAGGAAAATTATACATGGGTTTCTTACTTTTTAGAACATTAAGAAGGACTGAACTAAAGTAAAAGACAAACAAGACGCATCAAACCAAAGAAAGAGACTAAGGAACACGATCTCTGAGAAAAAAATTAAAAATTCTGAGAAAAAACATCAAAATTTTGAGATAAAAGTCAGAATTTTCTTTGCCATTGGCCTTAATCTTCTTCCATACAATTGTAACCTATAATTTTTCTGAGTGATATTAAATACAGTTAAATAGAAAAATCTGCACCCTCTTAAAAACAACACAAGATATAAAAAGCCTGGAGGTTCTTTAAAAATGCAGTGATAAGTTTTGGTCTCACAGAACATAAGAAGCTGTGAGTAAAAAACGATTTACAACAAAACTCTCTGATGTGGTCTGAGAGTTATTTATCTGTTGTTTTCCACTGAACAAAACCAAAATTCACCCACATGCGCAGCAATAGTAGCTCAGAGAGCACAAGAATTGGTGCAGCTTCTAATGGCCTGTTCTTTATAACTTTAACCTACTTATGATGTTTAGAAATGAATCATAGAGACGTGTAACAGACCTCAGAGTCTCATGCAAAGTGATTGCCTTAAATGTTATTTACTGCTGCAGCTTTTCCTACCATGTCACTCAAGTTTATTTCTACTATGTGTTGTGAAACTGCTTTTCACTTAGGACAGTATCACTCAGTGTGTTTTAGCAACACTTTACTAATGCAAGAGAAACCACTTCCTTTATTATAGGAACATCACAATGTCACATAGTAACTGTATCTGCAAAAACACCTCAGTAGTTACAACCCAGTTACACTGCAAATTATGCTTATTGTCACATTTATGTACTTTTACTTAATTCTTCACTTTCTCAGAGAGAAATGTTACCGTCACCATTTCATTTAAGATGTTGAATAATTTTAGATACATGTTATCTTCAATAAAATATATTTGTGATTTTATAAAATTAATATTTTGTCCTGCTGAAGGCCCCAAATATTCAGTTAGAGAACAGAATCCATGGTTTCAGCAACATCATTCTGAATTTGAAAGTCTGGCTCATTTTAGCCCTTTCTCAACAAATGATTCACTTTCCTGCGTATGTTCACACCCACACTCGCTGCTGATGGAGACAGAAACCTCTTGGTTAGAGCCGAACCAGACATTAACCAGCTTGACAATGGAAAAACAACTTTTGTAACCTCATGGACGAGTGGTTGAAGGGTGAAAAGCCCTTAAAAAGGGATTTTGTGGCCCTTTCCAGACTGATAGATGTCAGCGAATTATTTTTTTTCATCCGCTGTTACATTTCTTTAAGTTTTGAGACGTTTTAGTTTAGTTTGTTTAGTTTCATGTTGGAAAACAAGACTGCTTGGGTTAGTAGATAAGGAACTTTTTGAGCGTTTTGCCATGATGCTGCTTAGATTCTTTCATGCATGTTGAAGAAATCACTTGATCGTGCTGCGGAAGCCTCGAGGACTGCCGAACAAATTTCCTCCACAGAGCAGCGACCCAGCTGAGTTTCTGCCCCACAGAGCTGTCTTCTCTTTTCAGTTCCTTAAGACTAGTGGCAGCATCAATAGGTAAACAACTGGTGGAACTACACGTCTTCTGAGAGCATTATAAGAACTACTCCTCAGTGCAATGCTGTTAAGAACTGCTGTTGAAGGCAGATTATCAGAATGAGCAGGAGCTTCTTAAAGAGACAGAGGCCCAATTTCAAGGCATCGAAATTGCAAAGTCTAATTTTAAAGATCTTTGTTTAAAATAAAAGCTAGTTTGGTGAACTAAAATACTCAAGAGTCTTGGCAGCAAAAAAAGGGGCAGAAACTTTTATTTGACAGATGTTGAGAAGATACTCAACTAAAATGCTGACAGTCAGACAAGGTTGCTGAATATTCTGAACCAGGTTTCCTTGTTTTGTGCAGAACGGTTTAAATCCAGTTACTCCTCCTGGCAGCCAGTGAGCGACTCCCTCAGGTCAGCAATCTAATCTGCCTACCGACCTGCTCCAGTCTGAGCTGCCATCTCAAGCTGAGCCTGAAGGGGACTTCTGTCGGAGATATGAAACTCTGAGACCAAACGTGTTGTGCTTCTGATAGACTTGCCTGCCAGCTTTGTTTTTTTTTTTTTTTTTTTTTTTTTTAAATCCAATAAAAGCTAGTTAGAAAAAAAAAACACTGTTCTTCCTGCAGGTTATAACTGAGTGGCAGATTTTAAATGTTAGAAACTTTTTTCCAACCAAATCATGTTTTATAAAACCTCTGCTGACTTTCTGTGCTGATGCTGTGGAAAACAAAGCGTGCTACGTTTCTTTTTTTCTCCCTTTGTAGAAGCTTGTGTGATCAATCATTGCATTGTTTTGTACATTTTTTATGAAGGGAAGTTGAGACTTCTGTTCCTACAGTTTCCATGTCTCATACTTCCTCCTGAGTTTGGAGTTGAACAATAAATTAGCTTTGAGAATCACACACAGACGTAACAGGAGGAGATTCACCACATACAACATGTTTCTTTGCTTTCTTGTTTTGTCCCTGTGTGCAAGCACAGGTAAGTAAAATGTCCCAGGGCAGAAAGTGAGAGCAGCTGTTTCTGATGGTTTTTAAAATCTCTTTTTTGAAATGTCTGCAGTGAAATCCCTGCCTTCTAATTCATCCACAACTGCACCCCACCCGATGACTTCGACAAAAGGTAATACACACCTGGATTTTTCTTTGTTGATTTAAAAGACAGAGTTAGCTTTGTAAAGGTAAAGCTGAAGTTTAAACATTTGATTCGTAGGCCTAGATTGTTCACCTTTTATGGACAAATGAAAAAAATATGGAATCTGTTTTGGGGCAAAAGAAAACTGGGCGTAGAATAATGCTTAAGTTTGAAGAGAAAAAATTTAATTTCTGAAAATTGTGTGCTTTTAGCACATATTTTTATTAATATAAATCCTGAATACTTCTGGAAGTTTCCAGTTTCCTAAACTTATTTGTGCAAACTACAACTTTCTTCAAAACGTTGTAAGCAGAAATAAAATGAAGCGACGCAGCTGGGAGAAAATGAAAGGGCACAAGTATTGCTGTCAGCAGCTCTGTATTGCTTCATTCAAGACGCTAGCAGTAGCTTAGCAGTAGCTTAGCAGTAGCTTAGCAGTTAGCAGTAGCTTAATGAATTGCCATTAGCATAGGTAATGAATTGTGAGTCAGAAAGCTTTAAGATAACCGGAGTTGACTTTAAATATGATTTATTAACCAGGCTGGGCAATATTAATAAAACATGCAATAATGTTGGAAGTTGTAGTGATGATATGGTGCAATAAATCAATAATTAAATCAACTTCACTAAACAGTGTTAGCATACTTCTGCTTTGACCTCATCACAGACAACAGCATGGTTTTGCGTGACCATATTTACTGTTTTGGCATAGAAACAACTTTTTTGTACTTTTCTAATTGTCAATATAAACATCGATTATTTGCTATTTTTCTCAAACAAAACAGTTCTTTTTTTAATTTATATTGCATACAATTACCCTAATAACAATAAATTTGTAATATATTGTGAAGTTATTAGCTACTATTACTTCCTATTGGAACATCTTTGAAAAGGAGAGTTATATTGTTGATGTTTTTGAAACTTATTCAGTCTAATAAACAGCCAGATTTATTCTTGTTTCGGCTGTATTGGGTGTCAGCTGATTGGAGAATTCGTCCCGACATCTCTTCCTGAGATTTCTGTTTTCAGTATGATCACCTTCAGAACCAGAAAACACAAGATAGATTTGTTTTAGTTTGTTTAAGCATATGAAGAAAGTGTTAATAAAGAGAAAACCCGACTTGTCACCATAATCTCTTGATCTAGACCTGAATAGACTCTTCATGTTGTCTGATATTTTCCATTAAGACCTATTAAACATAGTGCTAGTTAAAGATTATATAGGAAAATGATGCAGTGCAGTTACCATATATGTGTGAAATATTCATTCTAAAATAAGATTATGACAGATCATGAATCTCTAAACTGTATGTAGTAAAACTAAAAGCGACAAACAAAAAAAAACACTGCTTTGCTATAATATTTGTAAGAAATTTTTTGATATTTCTTATCTTCTTTTGCATCTTTCCACCACAGAAATACCACCGAAAACAAATATACCACTGAATTGCCCGCATCTTGTGGCCACACCAGATTACCCAGTTGCTGCAGGTCAAACAGTCGAGCTACGCTGTCAAACAATAATCCCATCACAAAACATAAGCTGGTCCAGGTCTCATCTTCAAAATGAGAGCTGGGAAAATGTGGGTTCAGGTCATGTACTGGTTCTCACCGAGCCCAAACAAACTGGGATGTACAGGTGTGAAATCCGCAATGCTGGGAGTGTGGCGTGTGTGAGCCAAAATCACGTTGTGTACATCGTCTCCATATCAACAGCAGGTCGGTTGTTTTTTTGTTTGGGTTTTTTTGTTTGCTAGAACAATCTTTTCTCTATTATTACCTGATTTTGCATGATGACAATGCATTTCAAAACATCTTCTCAGTTGAGTCAGATTTCTGATTTCTAGAGAACCCTCACCTGTTCCCAGAACATTATTTACAGATCCACCAATTCTCTGGAAATTAACTCAATTTTTTACAGATTTCCATTAAAGTTTTTTGTCTCTGTTGACAATCTGATTCCCCATCTTGTTTCCCCAGGAGCAGCTAGGAAAAGCAGCCTTTGCCTTTACTATCTTGTTCTTGATTGGCATCATTGCCGGTCTGGGCTGGTTCTTTTGGGAAAGATCTAGCAATAAACTGAGCGCTTTGGACACTCCAAAGAAAGGTAAAGACAAATCTGGTTGAGTCAAATTCTTATTTAAAGCATTTGTGAATCTTTAAAATGTATTTGTTGTCTATTAGATGTCCCACCATCTGTCCCACCTGAAGTAATCCCGAAGTGAGTTTCATTCTTGAATCTGTCTGGGTGAAAATGTGCAACATGACAAGATTAATAAACATTTTCTTTCTCCAGGAATTTGCCACAGACGAGTGAACCTGATGCGGATGTCTACATGAACTATACAAGCGGGACTCAGCTTGTATAGTGACCTCAACCCTTCCAACCTCACAGGGGAAGAGTTTTACTCCTCTCTGTCATAAATGGTGAACTGAGTGGGTGTTGAGTCAAATAATTGTTTGATTTGGTCTATGGTCATCTCTGCAATGCTGTCTGAACCTCCGTGTTTTAGATTTAATCTACTTTTACATATTTTTTTTGCAATGTCAATGCGGTGAAAGCTTTCTGTGGTCTCTGTCCAAGTTGTCAAAATGTTTTGGGGATTTCTTCTTAATCTTTATCTTTCATATTTTATATTTGTAAGCTGTGCAGTTATCTTCAAGCTAACTTTCTTTGTTTGACTTAAGAAACATCTGTAATTTAACTCTAAATATTACATCACACAAAGATTTCAAATGATTAAAAAAAAATTTTTAATGAACCTTTTTTGTATGTTAGGGATTTGGGCCAGAAAATCACTACACAAACCTTTCAGTACTTAAAAAGGGCTAAATGGTGCCACAGTTTGTCGTGTTTATGATCAATCTTGAGCTCTGAAAAAAGTTGCTTCTTTCAGATTTCTTCTGTTTTTGCTTCTTTTTTCCACACTTACATGTAAAAGAGTTTAGGAATGGATTTTTAAAATATTGTCAAAGGCTTGAGACTTAAACCACAGTAAGCACCATGTGAAGCTTTGCAGAGGAGGCTGTGTATCTTATTCACCTGCCTCAGGTAAGATCAGAGGTCTAACTAATTAAAATAAAAAAATAAAGCATAATAATAAAATTAGGAATGGTCAAAATAACAAAAAAGATGCAGAGCTTTCAGACCTCAAATAATGCAAGGAAAACAAGTTCATTTAGAAACAACACTAATGTTTTAACTCATGAAGAGCTCAGAAATCAATATTTGGTGGAATAACCAGCAGGTTTTCAATGGGATTCGGTGCAGTGGCTCTTAGTTTCTTCTAGAGATGCATTTTTTTATGTCCTGTTTAGAAAACTTCTGCATTACCAGGAAGAACAGAAATACTGCAGAACGCAGCAACTAAATACAACATGTGTGATGTTAATTTGCACAGTTTTATTAGCATGTTACCAATCTACAATGTTTTACAAACATGTTTATGACCTTTAAAACATTTCACATGTTTTCACATTAAGGCCACAGAACATGAATAGCACTGGCAGGTGGGAAATGAGAGATGGTTTCAAAATACTTAGAGACAAACTCTGAAGCATACAGCATGCCTTAAGTCACACTTATAAAAGTCATTGTACAATAAATAAAGTCTATCTGAGTGTAATTTAGTAAAAGGTCCAGCTGCTCTGTGAGACCAAACACGATCATGAAGACCAAGGAACCACAGCCAGCTCAAGGAGGAAGTTGTGAAGAAATTTAAACCAAGAATAGGTTAAGGAGCGGAAAGAGTGCATCACAACTGCAAAACAGATGTGTTGGTCCACCTACACTGAGCGTAGCCAAAGCAAAACGTGGTGGTTGCAGTATCATGCCGAGGGGATGGAAATGGCCAGATGGCTGGAGGTAGATACAAAATGCTGCAAAATGCAACAGAGGGAAGAGAAAAATCTGGACCATTCAAAAATATTTTATTAATCCCAAAAGGAAACTAAATATGACACTAAACCTACAGCCAGTCAAAAAATGGATAATTTAGATCAAAGTACTTTAGGTGATAGAATGGTCTAGTCAAAGTCCAGACCGAAATCCAATTAAGATGTGAAAATTGACTCATGCCTAAAAATCAAGGGAGAATGCATTCTGCTATATTTTGGTAATTTCAACATTTATATTTTTTGAAAATTTTAAACTCTTATGCAAATTTTGGCTCCAATGAAACATTAAAATTCATTGGAGCTCCATAAAACACAGCAAAGACTTTGACAGCTCACTACATCAACCTAGAAACTCAATTTAACTTTTATACAAGTCACAAGGCATTCAGCTATCTTCAAACAATTATTTCACAGTTTTTTTAAAACCGTGATTTAAGTTTTACGTAAGTTTTTGACTGTTTTCAGTTTTACAATGTGATCCAATGACCAAAATTCTTCAACTGCTGCAGTGCGCTCTCTAGCAACTGTCGCTTTTTCAAATTTTACAGATTTTTCACAAACAGTGCAGCTGTTCTTACAAATGACACTCTACATAAATAAATTGCGCAGCAAACGACATTTGGTTTAAGGGAATATAAGCATCATTGATATAGGTTTTAGGATTTTTATTAAAACAATCCCTGAGTTCAGTCACCCCTTCCTCCTCATTGCACCACATAAACTACTTTCACCTTTCTTAGATTTCCATCTGCTGTTTTTCCTCTTCAGGGGCTTTTATTCTCGAGGCTGTTTCGCAAGAAGCAGAAATGTTCTAGTTGGAGTGAAAGCTGCTGCTACAAACCATTGCCACACAGGGGACTGAAATCAAGAACAATCTGTGCCATCTGCATTCCAATAAAATACATCTGGGAGTGTGGCGTGTGTGAGCCAAAATCACGTTGTGTACATCGTCTCCATATCAACAGCAGGTCGGTTGTTTTTGTTTTGGGTTTTTTTGTTTGCTTTTTGAACAATCTTTTCTCTATTATTACCTGATTTTGCATGATGACAATGCATTTCAAAACATCTTCTCAGTTGAGTCAGATTTCTGATTTCTAGAGAACCCTCACCTGTTCCCAGAACATTATTTACAGATCCACCAATTCTCTGGAAATTAACTCAATTTTTTACAGATTTCCATTAAAGTTTTTTGTCTCTGTTGACAATCTGATTCCCCATCTTGTTTCCCCAGGAGAGCAGCTAGGAAAAGCAGCCTTTGCCTTTACTATCTTGTTCTTGATTGGCATCATTGCCGGTCTGGGCTGGTTCTTTTGGGAAAGATCTAGCAATAAACTGAGCGCTTTGGACGCTCCAAAGAAAGGTAAAGACAAATCTGGTTGAGTCAAATTCTTATTTAAAGCATTTGTGAATCTTTAAAATGTATTTGTTGTCTATTAGATGTCCCACCATCTGTCCCATGTTCTGTCCCAAATGTTCTAGTTGGAGTGAAAGCTGCTGCTACAAACCATTGCCACACAGGGGACTGAAATCAAGAACAATCTGTGCCATCTGCATTCCAATAAAATACATCTCATGATTATAATGCAACAAATTCAAGGAGTTTTAATGCTTTTAAAAGATATAGTAAAACCAGAACAACACTATCAACTTAAATAAGGAAGTAGAAAACCTTAGCCTGCACTCAAGGTTGAACCATTTCAGTGGAAGTTTATTCCCTGCAGCTTGTTACAAGAACAAAAAAGATTAAAAATAGTAAAAAATAAAGAGAGATAAGATATGTTGATCGACAAGTCTAAATAAAAGTCATTAATAAACAGCAGCTTATTACATTCAAGGAGCATTTTCTGTTATCCGATTGTTGCTTTACAGTTTGTTTTAAATGACTAGAGTCATTTAGCGAACCCAAATGTGGTCCAAGGTGCAGTGCCTGGCAGTGAAGTAACACAATCAGCTTGCATTTTTCACCAAAGTATGAGTAGACACAAGGCAGAGGCAAAACATCATATGAAAATGTCCAAAAAATAAGTAGAAAAACAGATTTTGGTCAAATGAAGCTTGGTGTGAAGGAACTATAAAAAAAGGACAAATTGCAAACATTAAAAAAAAAACAGAAAGGTAAACAAAATCAGTAAAGTCCTGTTGAGTATGTGACACCGGTTCTCATGTGTTCTTGTGTCCATCATGGAGTTATTCCTCTTCCGGCTGTGGGTGGATACTCTGAAGTCTCTGGCTGTGGTTCCTGCTGTCCATGGATAGTTGGATGTTCGCCGAGTGGGAACAAGCCTCCCCTCTTGATAACTTTTTGATGTGCTCCACAATGAACCTCCTGAACTTCCTCGTGGCAAAGAAATACACCACAGGATCCAGGATACAGTTGAGGCCCATCAGAACCAAAGTGATCTGATGGGCGTCGTTGAGCGCCTGCCGTGTGTCCTGGCTCCAGTTTACGTGACCCCAGCCCTCCTTTATGTCCAGCACGGCCAGCGCCCAGGGGCCCTGGATGATGTGGTGGGGCATAAAGCACAACACGAACACCCCCACCACCGCCAGGAGCAGCTGGAGAGCCCTCCTCTTCACCCCTCTGGCCTTATTGGGCCTTTTGAACGTAGAGGTAAGCGTCCTGTTGGACTTGATTGTGTCAGAAAAAGCCTCTGAGTGAAGTGTATTCTGAGAAAGCAGGTTTCGGGCAATCAGGGAATTGCACACGACAACAAGAAAAAACACAACAAAAAACATGGCAATTATTATGAAATGCGTAGTTGCCACTTTCCTCTTTTCATCCTCCGTTTGATTGTGGTACCCCTCGAAGCATCGAGTCACGTTTCCATCGTCGTTGGTACCTGGTGATGTGAAGTAGGGGATTGACAATGAAATGGTAAACACCCAGATTACGACGCATACGATGATCCCACGGCGCCTGTGGTCCGACGAGGCTGCGTCCAGAGGCCGAGAGACCGCCCAGTACCGGTTCAGGCTTATCGCTCCCAGGAACAGGATGGTGCCGTAATTGTTGATGAAAAATAACGATCCCGCCAGCTGGCACATGAAATCCTGGAAGACCCAATCCCCCTTACGCCTGTAGTACCCAATCCAGAAGGGCAGTGCACAAACAAAAAGGAGGTCGGCGATGGTCAGGTTGGTCATGTAGATGCGTATTTCTCCCATGGCCTTTGCCTCACGGAGACACCGCAGGACGAACAGCACATAAAGATTGGCGAAGAAGCCCACAACGAAGATGATGCTGTACACTACTGGGAAGAGCATGTAGCGAAACTCCGAATCCAGAAAGGTCGAGCTGGTCTCTGTACCCATCGTTTCTACCTGAGGGAGAGAAAATAGCACATGAATAACATGAAACAGTTCAACGACGAGAGAGCAAGACAGCAACTGGGTTCGAGTTATTTTGAGGTTTTGCTCAGGATGTGAAAGTGAAGTAAGTCAGCAAATTCTAAAAAGAAGTTGAGAGGACAGTGAGGAAAGTGACTTTCTGGTTAGCAGTGAAGGCCGTGCAAACAAAAGGAGCCAGAGCTGTTCAATCATGCAGATGTGCTCTAATAAATTAAAACCTTGTTTTTTCCTAGAATGCTTTTTGCTCTCACAACTAAAAATATGGGTTCTGTTTGAAATAAATATATAATTTTACATTTGCATCTGAATAGAAACATTTCTATTGACTTTCTAACCTTTTCTCATTTTTATTATGATCAAGCCTAATTTCTCAATTTCTTTTTAGTTTTTGTGTCTTCATATTTGTGTGATTTATTAACATTAACATAATAAACTTAACTTCACAAAATCTTGAATTTAATAGCAATTTTGCACCACTAATTATCTCATTTCAATTGAAATGTGAATAGTTTGAGTCTTTATTTTGAATCACGTCAGCTGTAGCTGTTTTATAGAAAATAATATTTTGGAGTTTGTCACAGCTGTAAAATAAAAACAAATCTATATGAATGCAGTGGTATACTCCATAAATACAGAAAATTGCACATAATGACACTGATCTTCTTTTTGAATGCCAGAGAAAAGCTTTTACTTACAATATGTTGGTCACTTGTCATCATTGATAGGATGCAGACTTTCTTTTGTTCTTTCTTCTTTTACTCAGCTAACCACACAAAGAAAACACATTTCTGCTTAATACCACAGGTGTCAAACTCCTGTCCTCAACTTTTAGATGTGCCTCTGTTGCACCAGACCTGAACAGAATAATTAGGTCATTAAGGCTCTGGAGAACTGATCTACACAAGGAGAAGGTAATTAAGCCATTTCATTCCAGCGTTTTGTATCTAAAAGCTGCAGGCAGCGGCTCTTAAAGACTGTAGGTTGACACCCCTGCTTTATACCTTCCTGTCTGACTGTGCACTTTCCTACATTTAATCTTTTTCAATCTATGAGTTCACTGGAACTGAACCTCAAAACAGTATCTTAGAGATGACTATCATCAGTAACATTTTTCCTTCAACACAACTTCTTCATTATTTCTCAAATTGGGTGCACCACAAACTCTCAGCAATGCCCCAAAACAGGATGAAGCAGCTGCTGAATATTCACAGGTTCACCAACAAAAACATGTTTTTGTCACTTTTGACATTTTACTCAAAAGTTAAACATATGATTTACTTCTGACAGAGATCATCTACTATAAAAGTCGGACCAAAGCGATACATCAAATCGCAATAGTCTTTGCAAGAGATTTGTTCTACAATAGATATTTGGTTGGACATCATATTTAAATTCTCCTGCTTGCATATTCTACATACAAGTCACATATTTTGTTTGTTTGCCCTTGAAGCACACCATAAGTAAAATGAAAATTAAATCAATGGAAAGAAAAGATGAAGTTGATGTAGTTAAAGAAATGTAGGATCATTGTAGCATGCTTCTCTGATATCCAAGATTTATGATAAAACCTCTAAGGGATTCAAAATCAACAATCAAACAATTACAATACGAAGCACTAAAACAGAATTACAAGAGGAAGCACTAAAACCTCCAAATGGTTGTGGCATTCAGAAAAAACTGTAATTAGTTGAAAAGTGTTCTTTACCACAGAGTGAAAATCATCTAATTTCTTCTAAAAGGAAAAGTGAATCTGTCTGTTTCCTCCATTAATTGACAAAAGTAGCAGGATGGCACGATGCATTAGTTTACCATAATTATTTAATTTCTGCTAAGCTCAGATTCTGGGATTTTGCTCATATATACCCATGCAGTTTACAATGTGCATGAATACAATGCACATAAATTTTCCAAAGAATGTAAATTATAAAACAAAACATTTTTATTCTATCACGGTTTGTTGTTGGAACCTGTTTCAGTGAAAACATTCGTAAATTGTTAAAACTTTCAGGAGATTCTTCCAAACAGGCGTTCTGGGAAGGATTAAGAACGAAGTGAACCGTGCTACAACTATTTCCGTTAGATGACACAACATTTTCTTTGACAGCGCTGCATGACACCAGCACTATTTCTCAATATCATGTGAAAATTGCACTTTGTTTTTCCATCTTGCAAACTCTATTAATTATTCACACTGCATGTCATACTTTTGTTGTGATCTGCATTGTTTATTACAGATTATCACTGCTGCAAAGCAAAGATTATAGACTTCTAAACGTATTCTAGCAATTATATCTTGCTAAAATATACACTAACGATTTTAATCTGATTTAAAAATGCAGCTTAAAGTTATAAAATACGCACAGACTCTAATTTTTGAATCTCTAAATTGTGGGCTCTAATCTGTACATTTACTTGGATTGCTTAATAAATGTCTTTAGTCATCTCTAAATACATTTGCATCCCACAGACATGGACAACATCAAAGAATATATTTCAGTATAAAGACTTATTTTCAGTTTTGTCTGAATGTGTGTCCTTTTTACAACTGAGGTTAGTTTTAAATGTTAGAAACACTTTTTTTTATGAGCATTTTAAGGTTATTTTGACCATGTCACATGGATGTTGATTTTTAAAAAAAATAGAAGTACTGAATTGCATTACATAGAGTTACTATAGTAATTACTATATGCAATTATAGTAATTACTGAATTACTATAATTATTGAATCATAGGAATTCAGTAATTACTATAATTGCTGAATTATATTCGGTGATTATATAATAATTATAGTGATAATTATTCAAATTATTTTCCTTTTAAAGAATTTTTAAAAAATATGTTTAACTGACTCAGTTAAGTTACTTTGTCTCGATGTTTGAAGTTAGTTCAACTTGCATCAATTTACAGGATGGAAAATCTGCCATCAATTACATTGAGTTGATCAAATTGGTTGTTTTTATAAGTGTAGCTATTGGCTCTGAAACACTGAATGTGACAAAATGTTAGCAAAAATAAACTTTTAAAAATAAATCTTTTATAAAAAAAATGTGTTAAACATTTCTAAACAACTGATTACTTTGTCACATACTTTTATGGGGGAGTTTTGGAGCCGTTGTACAATACATGCATAATTTTAATAGGTCTTTTGTTCTCTAATTATACATTTAGATAATGTTCTGCTTCAATATCAATGATGTATGATATTGATATCATACATTGATGTATGATATCAATATCATACAATGTGCATTTTCCATTTTTTCCCCATTCATCAACTGTTTCTTTAGAGAGAATTGGAAAACACCAAGTTGGATGAGTTCATCTCTGCTGGGTCAATATCATAGTTTCATAAGTTAGTCACTGTTTGCTCACTGCTTACTCACTGTTCAAACCGTAACAAAAGGTTTAAACTCAGTGACTCCCTTTATAAAACTCAATTTTGGGACTGAAAGACTAAAAATATACTTTAGCAGCAAATTGTGTCAGCTTTTTATTAATTTTAGCTGAATAAACTAGAGTTTTTATGTCAGCACTTTGAAAAACTGAAAGAAGAAGAAAAAGACAGGATTGGGAACTATTTCCCAGAATGCTTAGCGGCATGTTTCTGTATCCTGAGATGGAAGTCCGTTACATTGATCTGACTCCTTTGTGCTATGAAGGCAAATGTTTACTTCTGTCCTGTTCTCACTGAATGTTTTTGAGCATAATTCACTGTGACGTTTAATAAAATTCATTATCAGATCAGAAATTTTGTTCAAGTAATTTGAAACAACAACTGAAGTCATTCTAAAGTGAAATGTGTACTTGATTTAACTTGATAATGTGAGTAAATTTGTGAGTAAATTTGTGCTCTTTAACTTGGCAAAGACAGTTTTTTCTTGCACAATATAGTTATTTGGTTTAAATTGCATCTTTAAGTTAAAACTCACAATTCAAAATTAGCAAACTGAAAAAAACAATGTTTAGACAACTTATCTCTTGTTGTGAAGCCAACTGAATAAACTTAAATTTCTTAGTTAAAACTAAAAAAGATTCTTGTTGATTTAAATTGTCTTTTTAAGGCAGCAGGTGGACTTTCATTTTCAAGTTAAACCACCTTCAAATGTTTTACAGTATAGATAAAAAAAAAAAAGTATATCGTTCAAAGACAGAAGGCAAGTTGTTACTGTAGAAAATAAAGAGAATTTGATCCGGTATAGAGCCCTGTGGGACACCAATTAATACAACTACCAGTTCAGATTTATAACTTTTGGTTTTAACAGCTTTTGAACAAAATAAACTGTACAATTTTAAATAAACATCTATAGAACATATTAAAACAAGAAATGGGTTAAGTAGAATGTATTAGTGACAAGTTTTAGCTAACTTCTGATATTACTATTTCAAACTATCTCTAAATGGCTTGAAATAAAGACGATCTGGTACTTTTCTATAACAAGAAAAAACATATTTTATTGACAGATTTAATTCAGTTTTAGGGCCATTGTTCTTTTTTGTAGATTTGCAGGACAGCTGTGATGTCTGGACACAAATTCGATGGAGCTTATTAGTTTTCTGCATACTTTATAGTTTTGTCACAGCATAATAACACCTGAATTATCCATCTAAATAAAACAAATAGATACAACTTATCTAAAGGAATTGATCAAAACGATGATAAATAAATGACTGCACATTACAAGAGAGCTAAAACCATTAGTGTGTAAAATCAGGGAGTATTTAAGGTTACTTTTTAAAACATTACAGAAAACCTGTGTGTAGTTATTGAATGCACCTTTAAAATTTGACTGTTTGTTACAGACAATCGAGAGGTAAAGTAAAGTAGACAATTTCCAGTAACTGGATAAAAAGGTTCAAGACTCTTACAAGAGTTTTATATGAGAAAGAGTCTTGATTTGTTTTGGCAAAAAAATGCATTAGCTAAACTATAGGAATACCATATTATGCCTATAGTTTAAATGTATGCCAATGAGTCAGAGGCAATATTAGGGTGACCACAGACCTAAATGCAACCCACATCTTCCGGTTTCTATCAGCTTTGAAGACAAAATGTTCCTTTGCTTTCTAATTATAGTATTTAAAATGCTATAGCTACTGCAGTCTAAACAATGATTTCAGCTTCCTCACAGAGAGCAGGATATTTTCCCACTTTGATGATTGAATCCATCTTGTCCTCCACATGCTGCAACATTCCAGTGGCAGAAGAAGCAAAGCAGCCCCAGAGCATCACAACGCCACCACCATGCTTCACTACAGGCATGGTAGTGAAGATTTGTTTCATGCTTTAGCGTTTAGCATGTGCCTCAGTGTTAAAGCTGAAACCTCAGCCACCAAGTCATTTGACCAATATGAGCTGAAACCACTAACTTGGTTGATTTGTGGGACAAAACACTGAAGCAATTAGTCATTCTAGGCGCAATGAGTAAATGTTAAAACAAACTTCGCTGCTTCAGTTTCAAGACATTAGAGGTAGTTCTTGAGAAATTAACATCACGACGCCAAAACCTCTGCATACATCTGAATAAACAGACTTTACAAATAAACAGTTTTCAAAAACAAGTTGTACTTACTCTGAGTCAGGAAAAGTCGACTTTATATCTGTTTATCTGGGTTGATATGGAACTAGCTGTTGTTTTTATGCTGTGACAAAGAAAAACGATGGCATGACTTGCCGCTGAGCTTCTTTTTCTCTCTGGATGACACCGACGCCTTTCCGCGGATATGAGGCGCTTCTTCAGCCCGGAGCGGCTCCTTGGGGGCGTGTCCGCCACGGAGCGTTGAGACGCAACCCAGACTTTCTGCGAAGCAGGAAATCCCCGCATGAAGCAACTGATCTCGAGTCCTCAAAAAACTATGAAGATGCCCAGGTTGCTGCAAGGCTGGAAATCTTAACTTGGTTTTTGTTTCCTCCTTCACTTATTCTTCCGCTGAGGAAAAGAAAACAGGAGAGATTATGATGCTAAACTTCTGCATTTAAAGCTCGCCAGAAATTAATGACCGTTTGATTTTTACCTTTCAAATACAAACACCTTTTAATTTGAAGTGATAGTCTTCATATAAAAACAAAATGTTAACGACAATGTGTTCCCATTTCTCTTTATTTATTTTTTATGTTGAAATAAGTTTCATTCTTGATTATTTAACAGTTATTTATTAGCATTAAATGTTGGTATTATAGCTGCTTCTACTCTTTTGTCTTCTTTGCTATTTTTATCCTTTAACCTTTTTCAATATTGTCATCTTCCTAAAATAATTGGCACAGAGAAATCACTACATCTTTCTTTCAAAAAGAGTTTCCATATAAAGAATAAGAAAGAGACACTTGACAAAAAATAATTTGTCATGATTCAATCGTAATACTCTGCTAAAAGTGTGTTGCATTATGTTTGCATTGAAACTTCTAGTTTTAGCTAAACTGAAAGTCTGCAGAAAACTAAGGGACTGTCTTGCAGACGGTAACTTACTGGAATATGACGAGTCCAGGAGGGATTTCCGGACAGTGCAGGACTAAAACTGCATAGGAGTGGTTGCATTCCTACATCGGAGCTGTAACTTCACTGACTGAGTTTATGGCAGCAATGTTTCACAAGAGGCAGTAAATCTCATCAGCTCCAGTGTGGAAGCAGAGCAACCTTTGAAGAAGATGCATCATTCAGGAAGACATTTCTCTTTGTGGCAAAGATGACTCAGAGGAGATAGAGCAGGCAGCAAGGGAGCTGCTTTTCTTAAAAATCAGTGTTATAAATTTGTCTTCTTTTCTGCATCCAGTAACAGAGAGGGTGGCAGTAATTCAGATGACTCCAGGACTCAGTGGCTACTTTCTATTCTTCCAACATTTTATCAGCATTTCAACTCATTCTCCGTCCATAATTTCAAAATAAAATTGAAATGGCAAACATAGGGGATTAAATGGCATGGTCGAGAACATAAGACCTATGGGACGTCATCTACTTGATGCATGCATTTACTGAAACGTGAAGACTTGTATTTCATGGGATGTATCTGACATGTGGACAAGTGACAGAATGCTACCAGGGAGCACAGAAAAAGATGCAGGAATTATGGTTGACTGGAAGAAATAAGTGGATGCTGCTCATGTTTAACCTTGTCCATTGACTTTTTAAATAGTTTTTCTGTTTTTATCAAGATTATTATAAAAAATTAAGTAATTTATGTTATGGAAACACGGTCGCCCCCCTTGATACAAGAGAAATCTCAGATTATTAAGAAAATGCCCGCTTATCAATTAGTCGATCGAAATGAAACTTTCTTTATTTTCACCACAAGGGGGAGCCAGAGACTGAAATAAAATAGGAAGCTGTAGTTTGAAAATGTGTTTGTTTAGTTAAATAGTGATAGAGGGAAAAGAAAGATATGTTGGGGGTTTTTCAGAAAGACTGGACTCATTGCAAGAAAGAAAATTTTAAGTAGAAACCAGGAGATGGCAATAATGAATCTCTTCAATTGTTTCTTTGTCCAGTAAATCTATTTAAAGTTTAAAACTCTTTTTGTTTCATGCTGCTGCCAAGCATTGCCAGGTCTCCCTTAAAATCACATTTCATGGAAGACCTGGCTAAGACAGACAGCAGCATAATCTCAATGGTGATTACCTGCTCAAATTAAAGTAAAATAAATAAATAAAACCTATATCCCAATATAGAAACACAGTAGGTTTAATGCACTTGATATTTGCATTGAATCCTGTTTTTTCTTGTGACTGGAACTTGCAGAGAGATGCATTACTGGTGTTAAAGCACATTCTTTGTTTTAAGGTGGAAAAACAAAATACGTACATTTCTCCCTTTGCAGGAACTGCAATTCACTTTGTTCAATGAGGACAAGAATATTTTTACATAGATAAAAACCAAAATACATTTTTAAACAATAACAATATCTGTGAGAGAAAGACAAGAAAGCATGCAGACAGCATTCCCTTTGTTCTGTCCGGCAAGAATCAGGCATCATTTTACATTATTGTCTGATTGCTTTAAACAATGCAGACGTCTGTAAAGCCAGACATAAAACCCAAACCAATCGAAAAGTTTTTTGTAAAGCATATTTGAGACCATGCCAGTCAGTCAGAGCATTTCCAATTCAACAGGAGCACAAGCTGATGATTGGTGGTTGGGAGTTAACCTTGCACTATTTTTTGTTTTAAAAACTATAGCTGGTCACATAGCCTGTGTTGTTTAAGACTGGGGAGTGTTTCGTGTTGGTGATTGAGCATTTTCTCTAGCATCATGGTGGAGCAGTGGAAATTTGTTGACGGTGAAAGTTGACATACATGCAGGATGGTGGTAAGAATATTTTTTAAGTGAATCTGATGGGTTGCACATTTGCAGGTAAATTTATACTCATATTTGGTTGTTTGTAGGTATGAAAGGTAATTTTCAGGTAGATTTGCCAAACCTAATCTGATCGCCACCCAGGATGATGAGATTATTTCAGCAAAGGCTGAAAGCACTTTCAAAACGCACGAGATCACGACGAGGACTGATCTGCTATTAGGAAACAGACTTGAGGCAACGTGTGAGATATGTCACATTAAACAGCTAATTAGATATTCCTTGTACATTGTTTTACAATTGAAGTTCAGTGACTCACCACAATGCTTCGGAAGAGTATTGCCCTTAGGCCTCAGTCTTACTCTGCTGACAAGTCTCGTTGTGAATCAGGTATAGAATTAGTGTTCATGTTTATTATCCACCTTATTGCTGTACTATGGGATTGATTGGGGATTCAAATACTGGTAATAAAGTGGAAGTTACACCAAAGCAGTTTGTTTTATGATGATTTGATTGTTAATAATGTATGGCGAAGGGTATTTTTGAAGTAAGTAGTTTGCTTTTTGGCTAAATCTCTTTTCTGTCTGTTTCCACACTTACATACATCACTGCAAAATATTCTGGTATTTGTTGCACTGTTTATGTCTGCACCCATAATCTCATGAAGCCAAATGTGTAGTTTTAATAAGCATGTTTTTTTTAACATGAACGCAAAAATATATATATTCCTGCAATCTGTGGTTCTGCAAAAGTACTGTGACAGATTTCTTATTCTTCCACCACTTTATGTAGCTTTTTGAAGGCCTAAAATATTTTAAAACTCTGCAAGCTTTACTCAGAATTGTCCACTGAATAAAATTTGTGTCTTAATGGAATTCAAAATGGGCGTGGCCAGCTGCACTTTTGGGCCAAGGTTTCATTTTTGACTTTTCATACTTGTCAAACTTCAACAAACTCCTCCAGTTCGGGTTTTGAGCTGGTGGCTTCATATTTGGTAAGTATCCCCTGTTGGCATGGGAGATTAAAAGTTATCAAAGTCTTGAATTTTGTACACGCTGAAAGAATGGGGCCACGTCTCAAAGTTTGCATCCTTTTTGAAATGTTCAAAATGTTGCAACTTCCAAAAAGGTATCTAACAATCCATGTTGCCATGTGCTGACATTAAAGCCCCACTCCATGAGAACAGGAAGTCACTTTTTGTTTCTTATATAGGTTCATCTCTGAACCTCTTGACCAAATCAACATGACATTGTGTCACAAGACAAGACTGTGTCTTAATGACTCGGCGCATTTTAAGGAATTGGAGATCAAATGTTATCAAAAGTTTTTTACTACAGCAAAGCATGTGGGTGTGGTCAATCCTCAGAATTTCACCATTTGCTAAAAAACACCAAGGTGGAATAACTTCCACACGCCAGCTTTCACCTGCATCAAACTTTCTGGTTGTCATTACAGACCAGCGCTGATCATACTCTCTTGGTAGGTTGGTGACATCACTTTAGCCTTTTCGACTTCTGTCTTGTGACACAGAAAAGGCTGGTCCTCCATTCGTCTTTGGACAGTGACTGCTGACTGGACTGTGTGGTGTCTTTGCTACGTCGCGCTTTGCATACAGTTGGCTCTGAATAAGTTTTGTGGTCCGATTGGACTTGAATGATTTGTCAACCACTAAAGAGCCTGACAGGACTCCATTGGAATTGGACTCAACTGCGCCCCCTAGCTTATTCTACAGCTGTATCTTCCTGATGCATCATTTGATCTCCACCAAAAGTGTATCATCATTGGTGTGGCAGCATGAAGACTTTAGCTCCACCCATTCATAGAAGGAATTGAGGTTTATTTGGTGACTCAATCAGCTTCTCCCAGAAGGTTGAAACCACATCCATTAACCATTGATAGCCACACGACATGATCCAAAATCTACAGGAAGCCCTCGCCAAGCCTTCGCCATCAAACACAAAGTGATAATAACTCTTGTCTAGGTTGGATTTCAATCAAACTTTAAAACTTGCTGCCGAAGCTTGGTGATGACAGAGGAGTAAAGCACTGGACCCATATGCGTCCACAATGCGGCCATCATGGGTTGAGTCCCATCCCCATTATTGTGTGTCTTCTCTCTCTCTCACAACCCATTTCCTGTCTGCCCACATTCAAATAGAGACCACTCGAACCGAAAAAGAAAATTTAAAAAACAAACTTGCCCCTGTACTGAAGTGCACCGAAGACAATATGGAAGATTTCCCAAATGTTCTAAGGCAGGCCATAAATATAAAATCAGTTTCGTCTGACTATCCGTAATCACACTGTATACATCTAAAACTTTATGTTGACTATCCGGATTGGTAATTTAAGAACAGAGAGTACTCAGATGATAGTACTGTTACCCTGTTTAAATTCTTAAACCACTTAATTTGTGGTTGTGCCTCTTTCTTAAACCTTTTCTGCAGTCTTTCACTCATGCATGGAAATGTTGTGTAGTTGTCTCGATTTGATGTGTCTTGAACTTTATTGATAAGGGCTCCCATTCAGTCAGTTATTGTACTTGTGCTGTTGTTGGCTCTTTGACAGCATGTTTCTGTTAGACTTGAAAGCTTGATGGCTCGAGGAAAACAAAGCTCGTTGTATTTTAGATGACATCTTGCTGTCAAGACACTTTCTCACAATAAAAACCTCCATTTTTCTTTTGAT